TTTCCTCCTATCAATTAATTATAAGATAAAAAGGAATTTTGATACAAAATCTACTTATATTCTTTTTTTTTTCAAAACAAAAATAACAAGTTAAATTAAAGAAAGAAAAAGATAATACATAATCATAAAAGGAAAAGGAAGGAAGTAGCAAGTCTCATGCGTGTGTAGAAAAAGATGAAAGATTATGGGAGATGCGAAGTACTGGACGTGATTTTTTACGTGTAAAAATTAGAGAAAATGACGAAAGATTACGTGTAAAAAAAAATAAAATGAAATGTTCCCCTGGAATTATAAATGTCCGCGCACAGACAAGCTCAACGGATCCACTACTGCGCGCGGACGAGTGTGCAGTGAAGGAGAGTCCCCCACCTTCCTTTTTGCCGCGCACAAATGGGAATGAATTATGCACGACCGAGCGCGGACAAGAGAAAATGAACAAGAACAAAATATAATTTAAATATTTTAAATAAGATATCATCATATCTAATAGGGAAAATCATTCTAAGATCCCATGAAAGCATTCAAAATATGCTGAAGTCCCATGAATTTATCAAATAGCTACCAGATCCCTAGGAACTTAAGGGTGAATAAATCTGAAAATGAAATTACTAATTTGTCCTCTACCATTAAAAAGAAAATTTTGCTTGAACGCATATCTCACGAAACCCATAATTAACGATACTGAAGATTGATGCATATCCATGATTATTGATCATGATAGGGTAATTTTTACTTCTTCATATCTATGATTACCGCTCTTGTCTTCATCTAAGTGAGGTGAGAGTGTTCATCACTGCAGTATTTCATCGACAGAAAACAATACAGTAATTGTTGAGCAAGTAAATGATTTCTTATGTGTTAATGATTTTATTATTATTTAAGGGTGGGATAATGCTTTCTAGGTTTACCTACGATCATTTGATTTGCACAGCTAATGGGTATGAATTTATTTGGTGCGACATTGATATGTTGAAAAATATCTGATACGAATAACTCTACATGTTGTCAATAGTGTATTCTTGTGTTGTAAATATGCTATGGATAGTTGTCGATGTACTGTATTGTGCAGTATGACTTGTAAGAATACTTATACTATTGAAAAACATGTACTATGTTATGTTTTAAATTTTTTTTTCATATATGGGACATTTTATATATTATTCTCAAGCATTTGATACAAGCTTTTTTTGTTGAAATATTTATGTTGTACCTTATAAGACTGACTTGTGGTGCAAGATGACCTCTATAGGCAGAAGATATAATTCATGTGGTGGCTATTGAGTCATTGTAATAACGTGAAGGAGCACGAAGTCATGCCCTTGTTAGAAAGATCCCAAGAAAGGAAGAGGAGAAAATAGAAGATTATTGATAGAACTTTAGGATATAAGTTTATTGATAATCATGTCCTTTTATATAGTTAGCCCATTTCGTGTAGTTAACATAGACAATGTTATTATAAATTATGATTACAAGTTTGTAAATGTGGCAAATAGTTTGTTTTATTAATTAAATGTTGACAAGTGGCAAACTGTGATTGACCAGTGGTTTTCACTTTATTGATACATTAGGTGCTGTTATTCGCTTTAAAAATTAACAAACTATAAGAATCTGTTGATTATTTGCCATTGTCAATTGACAAGTGGTTATCACTATATTAATAAGCTAAGCTATGCATTCATCATTGACAAGTGTTAATACATTAGGTGCTATTATTTTTTTTAAAAATCAACAAGTTATAAGAATCTATTGATTATTTGCTATTGGCAATTGAGAAGTGGTTATCACTATATTGACAAGCCATGCATTCACTATTGATAAGTGCTGATACATTAAGTACTGTTATTCCCTTTAAAAATCAACTAGTTATAAGAATCTGTTGACCAGTTGCCATTGGCTATTGACTATAAGTTATCATTATATTGACAAGCTATGCATTTGCCATTGACAAGTGTTAATATATTAGGTGCTGTTATTCCCTTTAAAAATCAATCAATTATAAGAACCTATTGACTACTTGCCATTGGCCATTGACTACAAGTTATCACTTCATTGACAAGCTATGCATTCTTCATTGATAAGTGCTAATACATTAGGTGCAATAAACAAAAAAAAAATTCCAGCTACATAAACAAAAAAGTACGCTTGTCTCTGATATTTTCTAGCATGGATTAGGATTTTTGCAAGTCTTGGAGGGATGACTAGTCTCATGGCATCTTGCATAATGATAAACCCTTTTGTTTTGGATTCGAGATTCCCTTCTTTTATGCTTTGGCTTACCCGAAAGCCTTATAGTCATTGGTAGCTTCAAGCAAGTTTGGGTTAATAAATTTGTCATTGTTAATGCTTATGGACATGGACAGTCATGTGTGGTTACCAACTTTATGTTGTTGGCATATAACATTCATCCACAAAATTGTACACATTGCCATAAACTAGCTTGATTGTGGCACATGCATGTGTATAAGGTATTCCATTCATTTGCCATGCTAAACAAGAGCATGTATGTGCTACTCATTTGATGATATCATTCTAGTCAACTCCTCATAAGTTGTCCGTTCCTTCATTGTTTTTTTTCTAACACTGCCCCCAACATATTGCATACTTCCTTGGTCATAATTTTGAAAATGTCCCCTATATGAAAAAAATATAATATATGTTCTCCAGAAGAACTTGCCATCTTACAAGTCAACCTACACCACACACAGTGTATTGATAACTACACATAACATAATGACAACACATTCAACCACTATTGATAAGATGTAATGTTGTTTCATAATAGAGATTTTTTAACAAAATAAGCTTATATCACATGTTTGAAAATAATATATAAAATGTCCCCTATATGAAAAAAAAACATAACATAATACATGTTTTCAAGTAGCATAAGAATTCTTACAAGTCATCTTGCACAATACAGTGTATCGACAACTATCCATGGCATATTGGTAACACAAGAATACACTATTGACAACATGTAGAGTTATTCGTATTAGATATTTTTTAATGTATCAATATCACACCAGATAAATCCATACCCATTAGCTATGCAAATCAAATGATCCTAGGTAAACCCAAAAAGCATTATCCTACCTTTAAACAATAATAAAATCATTAATGCATAAGAAATCATTTACTTGCTCAACAATCACTATATTTTTTTCTGTCGATGAAATACTACAGTTGTGGATGAACACTCCTACCTCGCTTAGATGAAGACAAGTGCGGTAATCATAGATATGAGGAAGTGAAAATCACCCTAGCATGATCAAGAATCATGGATATATATCAATCTTCAGTATCACTGATCATGGGTTTCATGAGATATGTGTTCAAGCAAAATTTCCTTTTTAATGGTAGAGGACAAATTAGTAATTTCATTTTCAGACTTATTTACCCTTAAGTCCCTAGGGATTTGGTAGTTATTTGATGAATTCATGGGACTTCAGCGTATTTTGAATGCTTCCATGGGACCTTAGAATGATTTTTCCTATCTAATAAGATAATGCATGATCTGAATAGATTCTAAGCTTATAAAGGTCAAATTTATTATAAATAAACCTTTCAAAAGCCTCTCAACACATCCAATCTCAAATCTAAAGGCTAAAAGGAATATTATAGAGTCCGAAGGAATCTTTCGAACTAGGAGCATTTTCTCTTCTATTCTTCTTTAGATTCTTTTGATGTCTTTTATATGAGATTATAGTTTTAACTCTATGCATTCTTGCTAAACTCTCAGTTTGGGTAGGAAATAGGTTGGGATGAATTTTGTTTCTTTATTTGTTTTGTTTGTTGAACAATAATTTTTGTCCATGAAATTTATCTTTGCTTTTATATTTATCATTCTTATTTTAATTACTTATTATATTTGACCAGTATATAATTTGCTTATAGATAGTTTGATGAATTGAAAGGTGAAGAACTTATTTAGGCCTAGAAAGATAGATGCATATGACTAAATTAGAAATAATTTAGGAGTTTATGGTAGTTTATATCATAGCTTCATGGTTTGCTTAAAGAATAGAATTTAGTGAGAGTTAGATTTAACTCTAACTATATACATCCTAATACACTGAAAGATAATTATAATATCTTAAAAACAATTGTCACCATAAAAGAAAGGAAGATAACTAACTGCATTAGAATAATCCATTCTGGTAGGTGAATCCTGATCCTTAGCGCTTGTTTGATTGGTTGATTTATTGTTCTCATCACTTTTATCAATTTTCTTGTTTATTTTATTTATTTAATTATTAAGTATTTTTCAAAAATCCTTATTTGATTTCTTAAATAACCAAGATCACTACTTTAAGTTCGACCCAAAATACTCTTGATTTATTACTATATTGATCTCGTGCACTTGCAAGAGCTTGATCAAGGTTTGGTGTCATTGTCGGGGAAGATATATCACTTTGTTATTTCTTTTTTCATTTTTTTAATTTTTTTTTGGCTTTCTTATGCAAACTAGACACTTTAAGAAATCCTTTAAAGTTGAATTGACTCCTACTAATAAAGAAATTGAATGATTGTGCAAGATTAACATGAAAAATTAAGGGGAACCTAAGCAAGAAAACTCTGATCAATTAAAGTCTCTAAAGAAAATCTCTAATAGTGAGACACCAATGGAGGATCATGTGCTAGTTGCTACACCTCGATGGAGGGACATTAGTATTCCTCATGTAATTGCTAGCCTTTTAGACATTCGACTGGACACCTAAGCTAGAAACTATGAGCTCAAGACTTATTATTTGAATAGCCTTCCATTATTCTATGGTAGGCCATCTGAAGATGCTCTAGCTTTCATTAAGAAGTTCTTCTATGTTGTCTTTATGCTCTCTTTCAACTAGCTAAGTGACGATGAACTTCATATGTGCTACTTTGCTTGCTGCCTTCATGATTATGCTAGTGAGTGGCTTTTTGAACCTAATTGAAGACTCCCTTACTACTAGGAACAAGTGTCTGATGTTATATCATGGTTCTATTCACTACTTCACATTGAAGAGCTTCGTGACAAGATCTTTAATTTTTTGCAATTTTTTAGAGAACCTTTCCATGAGACCTGGGAGATATACAACACTTTGTTGAAACAATGCCCTCATCATGGCTTTGCACCCCTCGTGATCATTAACAAATTTTATAAGGGGTTGATGATGACATATTATAATTTGGTTGACATAGTTGCTGATGGCTATAAGGGAGAGAGAATGACAAATTAGATGATGCTCATCTATAAGCGCCTTACTAGAAACTCATGTTAGAAAGGGGACAATAGGAGGAAGGTCCAAGCCTATCAAGTAGAATTTAGCTCTATCATTACTACTCAATTAGATGACCTTAATAGGAATATTCAAAACTTAATTTCTAATGTTATTACTCCTAATTATTATGTTCCTATTAATTCTACTGATGCATCTTATGGTTACTTGCAGGAAAATTATGGCAATCAAGTTGCAGAGACCTACTATATAGATGCTATCCAAAATAAGAGGAGACAGGGAAGGCCCTATAACCCCTTTATCCACATATATAATGAGGGTTGGAAAGACTACCCAAACTTTTAGTGGGGGACAAGCACAAAGCAAATGAAATTCGAGCAACCTTTGGCTCTACCCCAATAATCATCTAAACATTGATGAAAAGTTTAACAAATTAGAGGATATGATCTCCAAGCTATACACAGCTTAGATGACTACATAGTCTACTATTAAGACTATACTTAAAAATATGGAGGCATAACATTAAGTCACCATGAGAAGCCTGGAGACACAATAGCAAGTTGCCATAAAAAACTTAGAAACTCATATGAAGTAGTCAACTAACATATTATCAGAACATCCACAAGGTCAACTATCATGCAATACTAAAGTCAAGCCCAGGCAGGGGATCATGGCAATTAGTACAAGGAGTGGCAAACAATTGGAGGACCTAGTCCCTCCACAAAAAGCCATGAGGGAGGACCTACCATAGGAAAAAAATGCCAACTCACCGATAAAGGTAAATGACACTACTACAAAAATAGGATCTAGTAGCATACATTTTATAGCAATAAAAAAAATAAAACACTACTAATACTAAAATTCAAACATCTTAGGTGGCGTTTCTAATATCAAATGTCACCAATTATAAATTACTCGTTTTGTTAAAATTTTAGTAAATAATAATAGGTGGTGTTTATTAAATGAAATGCCACAACTTTTGGTTAATTCCATATATGGTGGCATTTCGGTAATAAAATGCCGCCTATCTAATTTGTCAAATTGTTTTACTAAATCATAAAATAATTTTGACATAATTACTTAATTATAATTAATAACAAATATATATTCTTAATTAATAAATTAAATTTAGATAGGTGGCATTTCAGAAGTTTGAAAATGCCATCTGTTTAATTTTTTACAAATTAAAATAAGAGAAGTCACGTTTCTAGTGATTTAAAATGTCATCTCTCTACTCTTGTTTATCTTTTTAGAGTAAGAAATTGTTTTGTTATAATCTATTAAATTTATTAATAATAAATATATTTTATTATTTTAGTGAAATCACTACAATAGAGGTGGCGTTTCAAGGGAAAAAAAAAGGAAACATCACCTCTATATTTTTTAATAACTTTAATAAATAATTAATATATATTTGTATTCATAAATGAGATGAGGGAGGTGGTATTTCCAAAACTATGAAATGCCACCTATCCATGTTTAAAATTTTATTAATTATAATAATTAAATATAATATATTTAATCTGTATAATATAAGTTATTAGATGAATAACAATTTTAACATAGTTTAATTAAATAATTTTAGTAATTAATTAGCTTTGTAGGTTTAGATAATTATCATAATATAATTTATTTAATTATAAATTATTAATTATTTCATTTCTATATAAATGTTTAATTATTAAACATATATTTTAAGAGAGGTGGTGTTTTTGTGTATTGAAAATGCCACCTCTTTTATATTCCGTTACATATTATATTTATGATATCAAATATTTATTTTCTATATTCTAGATAAATATATTTACAAATTTGTATATATATATTTATTTCATTTGATTAATTAAAAATTATCTAAATTTATAAATTATTAAATAATATTTATAGAGAGGTGGCGTTTGTATGCAATATAAATGCCACCTCTCTTATTTCTTGGACAATATATTTAATCATTATTTTATATGTTTTTATAATTAAAGAAAATTAATCGTAACAAAGGTGGTGTTTATGACTTATGAAAACACCACCTTAGCTAATCAGATTGTGCAAGAGAAGTGGTGTTTTAGTAAGTAAATGTTACCTCTGTTAAAATTATGCGAGAGAGGTGGCATTTTAGTTAGTAAAAAACGCCATCTCTCTGATTTTTTAATTTAAAATATACTGAGAGGTGGTATTTGTCAAACAAAATGCTCTCGCTCTTACATTAATTTGTGACATTTCATTAATTAATGAAATGTCACCTAAAACCTATTATAAAATTGAATTTTATAGCGTTTTATAATCGTTATAAAATTAAAAATTTAAAAGCCACAAAATCCAAATTTTGTAGTAGTGTGATTAGGCAATAAAATAAAAAATAATAATAACTAATATACATACATACATACATACATACATACATATATACATACATACATATATATATATATATATATATTGTTCCCAATTGCACCAACCAATATGATATTTTTATCACTATTTTTAAATGGTCTATAAGTGTCTTAGACCCTAAACTCATTAAATTTTCTCCTTTAATTTTTTAAAAATGGTATAATCTAGCCTCTACCATTAATAAAATTAACTTTGGCTATTAGTTGACTAAAAAATAATAAAAAAGGACATCAAAAATTATAAAATAGGGACTAAAAAAAATTTTGATCTCTTTCTGTAGTTTTTTGTCCTAATGTATAATTTCTGAGTCATTTACTATAATTTTACCATTAATAAAATTAAGAAAGTTAACTTTTATTAATGATAAGGGTTAGATTAGACCATTTTCAAAAAGTTGACAAGGAAAATTATGCATTTAATAAGTTTAGGGTTCCAAACATTCCTGAACTTCTAGTTTAAGGGTCAATTTGTTCTATTATCCAAAAAATTATTTAAAACACACACACACACAAATGAGTACTAAACAACGAGTAAGATAATCCAAAGTTATATTTGCTGAGACATCCTTGCATGTCACTAATTGCAGAGCTATACATTTTGTAATCCCATACATAAAGTCTAATTCATTATCAACATGGATTTTAAAATCACTCTAGGTGAAGTAAGAAGAGAGATAAATGAAAAATGATAAATGGACACTCACTTGAATTCACTTCAAAGTATCCATGTCCAATTTATGTTTATCGAGCGCTAATAGCAGAATGACTAACGACGTTTATTGAAGCTTCTCTAGACGTTGAAGTAGTCTCCGAATACAAACTACTGGAATTTAATAGGAATGCAGGCTTTTGAGGTGAGGGAAGGCTTACTTCATTACCAAGCATGAAAATAACTTCTGACATGGATGGCCTATTGATGACACTTTCCTGCACACACAAGAGCCCTATTTTGATATATCTTTGGACAATATCAACAGGATATGATTCTCCAAGTGTTGAATCCACTATTTCCAAAGCCTTTCCCTCTATCCACAGGTCCCATACCTGCACATTAGTGAAGCATTACATGATTACCTGTCACTGAGATTTGTTAAAGCAGTTTCCAATTAGATTAATTTTTATGGTAAAGTATGAGAGGATATGGAAAATTAGTTAGATTTATATTTCAACTTTATTGATTTTTAGTCTTACTCGTCCAATCAAATTCAAGGGTGATCCTTCCTTTTCACGATCTGTGTTTCTCCTCCCACTAATTATCTCTAATAATAGAATACCAAAACTGAAGACATCTGACTTTATTGAATATTGTCCTTCCATTGCATATTCTGGAGCCATATAACCACTGTAACAATTCAAAATAGTTATAGTTATGAAAAACAATCTTTTTTTATGTTGAGAGATGTAAGTGTTTGGTTCTTACTATGTCCCAACAATTCTACTTGCTTGTGCTTGAACTTGGTCCTCTTTGAATATTCTAGCCAAACCAAAATCTGAAATTTTGGGGTTCATTGTAGTATCTAAAAGAACATTGCTTGCTTTAAGGTCTCTGTGGATTATTTTCAACCTTGAATCCTGATGAAGATAAAGAAGACCTCGAGCAATTCCAAAAATAATTTGAACACGCTTATCCCATTCTAAAGATGATCTCTTATCTGTACATGAAATGGATGACAAAAGATTGTTAAAATTGAAAAATGGTGAGAAACTAATCAAGGATTCTATTAAGCACATATAGAAATTAAATAAGCAAGTGGCGCCGAGATAATTGAATACTAAACCTAGTGTTTGATCAAATGTCTCAAATTAGGTATGCGAATTGACTGTGTGTTATATGTTTGATGCAATCAAGTTATCAACATATCAATTTATATAACTGAAAAATCAATATATATTTAATAAAATCTATATCAAGTCGTAATTCATAAATTATATGTAGTACATAGCTCATTTTTTAAACTTCAATTCATGAAAATGTCTAGCTGGGGAAGGAGAAGAGCACACCAAAAAGATAGAAGTCCAGCCTTTGTTGGGAAGGTATTCATAAATCAACATCCTTTCTTCTTTATGAATGCAATATCCAAGCAACTTTACAAGATTCCTGTGCTGCAACTTAGCAATTAGTTTAATTTCATTCAAGAATTCTTGGGTCCCTTGTCTTGATCCTTTAGACAATCTTTTCACTGCAATCTCTCGTCCATTTTCTAATGAGCCCTGAAATAACAAGGTGCTAAACTAGAATATTTCTGCAATATTATCAACATTAGTGTTGTATTCAACGTTACTCTAATAAGAATCAAAACATAATAATATTATTAAAGGAAGTTGCATAAGAATGAGACTTAAAACCCCTATTATAGAAACGAGAGTTGGTAACACACAATTGGTAGCAGTTAAAATAGATAGCTTTGAGACTTGTGGCGTTTTAGTAATTCATAAAACACTACCTGAGATTTTAGATAGCATTGAGACTTGTGGCATTTTAATAATTCATAAAACACTACTTGAAATTTTAGATAGCACTGATACTTGTAGCATTTTATAAGCGTTACCCAAGCCATTTTTTCTTTTTTGTAGTTGTGAACATTTCACTTACCTTGTAGACAGAGCCAAATCCACCATGCCCTAGCGCATTCTCACTTGAAAAACTGTTTGTAGCAGCCATTATGGTTTTAATGTTGAAAAATGGTAAGCTTGATTGGGCTACACTTTCACCATGCTCTTCTTCTGTTATAGATTGTAAGTTTAATTGTCTCTCAGCCAATTTCTCTGGAATAAGGGGGGAAAAACAATTAGTACATGCACTAAGGAATTTTGTATTTGTTGTATAAAGAAAAGAGCAGAAGGTTCATTTTAAACTTCACTATAAGAATAAGATGCATCATTGAAATAGAAGTTTGTTAGAATTTGAATTATTTGACCGACCACAGTTAACGTAATAAACACAACTAATATAATAAATAAATTGCATGACATAGGTTAAGATAATTAAATATGAATGTTGGATAATATAAATAAGGGTGAGAAAGAGATTTGTATATGATAATAAATCAATTTGAAATAATTCAGGAACGCAGAATCTGTCAAATGTCCTAAATCTATTCTATCCACCAATTAAGAAAAAAATAAAAATAAAAAACCACAATATAATTAGTTAAATATGAGTGACTTCAACATACTTAAAAGTCACTTTTAAAAATTTTCTTATATAGATCAATTTCACTCATATTCCCCTCCTTCCTATCCAAAAGCAGAACACAAAATTAGCACGTTTTTCTTTTAATAACACACATTTTAAAGCTATCAATATATAACAGAAATTGTGACTAGCAAGTCCCACCTCGCTCAGAAGACAATAAAGATTAACTTTTCTCCGAACTTACTTCAAACGCCAATCAAATATTAAAGTACGCCGCCTAACTCAAATAAGGAATTAAAAAGAGAGGACAAGAAGATATATACCCGGATAAAGCATACAAACCGTAGGAGAGAATTAAAGTTTGGTTTTAAAAGGGAAACATTACAATAAATCCCTCAGAAATATATAAATAATGAGTTAGTTCTTTAAAATATTATAATTTCTCTTAAGTCTCTAGAGACTTTTGGTTGTTAATAACTTTATGTAAATTATCAAATTACACTTATTAAAAATAAATGATTTACAAGTTTTGTTTCAATATTCATAACTTTTCTTCTTATATTCACAATAATGTAACATCAATCATAACTTTACATGTCAAATTTTTTATTTGTTATTGCATTGTTGCGAGTATAAGAGAAAAAGTTGTGAATATTTAAACTAAGTCATTTATTTTCAACAAAGGAAATTTGGTAATTTATATAAATTCATTAATGATAAAAAATTTTTTAGAGATTTCAAGAAAATTATAACATTTTAAGAGATTAAATTGTCATTTATATATTTTAGAAGGATTTTATTATCATTTTTCCCTTTTAAAAATTGAATGAATGAAATTTAAGTTTTTGATGAAATTTTCTTAAGAAAAAAATAAGTTATAAATATTGAATATTTAAATAGTTACAATCAAGAATATTTTCAATTAATTTTTTGGAAGATTTTGTAGAGAATTTAATTTTCATTAATTCAATCGTTTTGAGATCTAACTGTTATTTTTCCAAGTATTATTTGGATGCAATTTTATTATGACGATGATGATGATGGAAATGCAACTACTAGTTTCTATACTTTAAATTCCAGCATGTTTTGGTATTATTTCATATACTTTTCTATTGCTCCTAATCCCTTTAGTGTCATCTGTCTACGTTAGTTCCTATGTTTTTAAATATGATTATAAGGACTTAATAGAGTGGCTAATATGCATATGTAAACTCTATTATTTCTTATGTTAACCTGTTAAAATTATGATGAGTTGTATACAAAAAGAATATAAGTAAGATATTAAATCAAAACCTTTAAACACATGGTAGGCAAAGCTTTAGAAGGAAGATGCAACATAGAGGGTAGAATGGTAGAAAGATTAGTAGTCATTTTGCTCATATAATATCAGCCAACTCATCATAATTTTCTTCAACTCAGCAACATAATTAACGAAGTTATCCATACATCAATAGATTTAGTTTTGTCAATAGTGATAAAAACTAGAGTTTTGGATAAATGAAACTTAAGGAATTAGGAGTAAATATATATATATATATAGAGAGAGAGAGAGATAGAAATTAGTATCAAAACATGCTAAACATGCAATACTAATTATATTTTTACTTATTATTATTATTTATGTTTTTCTATTTACCCCCAACCTTTAGGAAAGAGACATCCTTGTTCCCCTAAAAGAGGATCAACTTTTTAATTCATAAAGTAATTTTACTGAAATAAAAAAAAGATAGGGAAAATGAATGATACCAATAATCTCTCCTACTTAGATAACACCCACGTGAAACCCAGACTTATCTTCGTGCCTAGCACTGTTGTACTTATCATTGTAATGAGATATAAATGATTCGGATTCAAAGTATTATTTTATATTTATTAAATAAAAAATTATAAAATTTAAAAAAAATTTCTAATAATTTTTTTATCATCAATTTGAGGTAGATTTAATTTGGATGTCAAATTTAATATTAAAATTTTTATAATTCTTATATATTGACTTGCAAGTGTACTCTGCACATTTTAGATTTAATATCAAAACTTTTTTATAATTTTTTTTAAATTTTTATTTTGTTAAATTTAATATCAAAAATTAAAACAAATAAAGGAATTTTTAAAAAAATATTAAAAAATATTTTTTAAAAATTACAAGTTAAAAATTTTAAATTTAGATTTTGTAGAGTAAATTTGGATAATCAATATACAAGAATTATAAAAATTTCAATATTAGATTGAACCCTTCAAATTAAATTTAGACCAGATTAATGACAAAATATTTTTATAAGTTTTGTAAAAATTTATTTTAATAAATATTAAATAAAAAATAAAATAATACTTGATCTGGATGATTCAGATTTCATCAATACTTTAGATGGCCTGCCATCAAACCCACTATTTTATCCCTATTTCTTTTCTGTTTTTGATAGACTATTTTACCTCCACTTCTCTCTTTACAGATCAATTTTTCCATGTTTTAAAAAGTTAAAATATAAAAACCACACGGAGAATGACATTAAAACCTGTAATAGGAAATTAATCATAGTTAGATTTATTTAGAAAAATTAATTATAAATATTAATTTAAATAGTTACAAACAAGAATTTTAATTATAAAATAAAATATGTATATTTAAAATTTAAATGTTTTATTTAGGGTTAAAACACTTGAATTAACAATAATTTTTTGAATAGAAACCATAACCTGTGCGCAAGGGAAATAAAGAAATGAAACAAAAAAGTAGGCACCTCTTCTTTTTCTCATCCAAATCCAAAAGCAATACGCGCATAAGGCAATCAGAAGAACAATCAGAACAGCAACAGCTATTATAATTCCAACCACTGCAGACTCAGCAGGTGGTCCTTTAGATTTCCTGTTATAATTTGCTGATCACAAAAAGTTCACAATAAAACAATAAATGAATAGTAAAGAAGAAAATTACCTGAAATAAAGAAAGAAAATTCATGCACACATACATATATACCTAGTTCAACAGCATCAACGCGAACATATAAATCATGGCCTTCTTGAGGGAGCATCATTGTGTCCATCAAAGTCTCGTGATGCCATGTCAAGCACCCACTTCCTTTATTTCTAACATCTGCAGCAGCATAGGCATTACAGGAACAATTTCTCAGGCACTCTCGTTCACATTCCTCCATGCTCAAACCCTTCTTAACATTCGCTATGGAAGTATCTGGAATCTTCACACTTTCTACTTTAACGAAGCCTTCTCCGTTCCGACACAAGGGTGGTCCTTTTTTCCGCACACAACCTTCTGATTTATTGTTCTTCTTATACCAATCGGTTGGATTTCTGGGTTCAAATCCAGGCAAGCATGAACACTTGTAATACGCATAGTCGTAAGAATCACAGTTGCTGTTAGGTCCACAAATTCCGTAGTTTTCACAGTTCACTGCTGGATATGACCCGTATCGCTTCCACTCTTTTGTTTCGTAATCCCATTGATGTGTTTGCAAGTATCCTGATGGAACAACTACGATCTTGAAGATGGAAGTGTTGACCAAGGCGTTATATGTGATTTCAAACTCATTATCATTGTCCATGACAGAGATGTTGAAAATATACGACATTTCCGGTTTCATTGCCGTCAATCCAACAAATGTTTCACCATTGAAGGATCCTATTCGCCACAACGGATCGTTTTCTTTGTATAGAAACAACTGAGCTTTCCCTGAAGTATTAAATCTAATTGAGTACCTTCCTGTTGCAGGATCGTCATCGGCCTTCCATGAGTGGAACACACAAGTTCTGACCAGTTCTCTTGTTGAAACCCACTTTGGCATACGGAAGAAAAGTGTCAGTGGGATGATCAAAGCTTTGCCACAACACAACTTTGGAATCACTTTGAATCAGAACAAGGTTACCTGTATCAGAGAGTTGAGCCATGACTGTTGTATTTGGAACAGTGAAAGAAACATTCGTGGACCAAATGGGCATGCTTTTGGTTGAGTTGTGATGGAGGACGAGATTTCCATTTGGGCTGAGAGAGAGAATTCCGGAAGTGTCGTTGATTGGAACATCTCTGTTTGCAACCCAAACAACAGTTTGCTTTGGCAAGTTATGGTACCAGATTCCAACATAACGAGAGCTAGATATGCCAGGAGTGAAGAACCCAAGAGCAAACTTGCTTTCTTTAGAAACAAGAAGCTCACCATCACTTAGGGGCTTGTCAATCGTTATGGCGTCAGAAGCTGAGCAAAACAAGAAGCTGTAATAGAATGATATAACATAAATAAAAACCATCCTATCTGGTATCCTCATCGTGGTCAGAACTGACTGAAATGATATAGAAATTGAAGCTGTTTCTTATTCATATAACATGCATTCATGAATAAGAGGTATTGATGCACCAATACAAAACATAAAATTGTAATAATGAAATTTTTTTGTCCATCAAAATTGCCTCAATTATTAATTTGGTTCCTAAATTTTAATTTTTATCAATTTAGTCTTTTGTGTTTTCTTAAGTTATCGTGTTTGTCATGAAATTAATTTGATACGGATCAATTATATTGATAACTTGAAATTTATATATAACTAAATGAGGTTAAGTCAGTTTTCTTTTCTCTCATGTTCTTTCTGTTTTTCCCTCACAAGTTTCCCTTATTTTTCCTTTTTGGTGACTTGGCATGTACAAGTGTAAATTTTTCTGCCCAAATAATTAAATTTCTTCTCATTAATTTGCAAGGCCGCTAACTTAATATTTTGTTATCCATGTTAATATGTTTTAGTGGTGTTGTCTTCTGTTTTAGCAATAAGAAATACATACTCATTTTTTGTTGAGATATACACCCTTAGTAGATCAGGCTCAAATACAAGCCTAATTATAGAATGGGGCTTTGTTAGAATATTGAAAAAATCTGGGTTTTTGTATGTGATATGCCTAGGCTTTTAAATGTCATTTCTCTTTCTGCTTGAAAAATGGTTAGAACGGTTATATGTGGCTATCCAAAAAAATAGAATATGAATGACTCACTTTTCACTGGAGTTTCTAAGACATAACCATCATGTAGGAGAGATGGCCGAGTGGTTCAAGGCGTAGCAGTTATCGTATACACACGATTGCCATTTTCCTTCATGTGTGAAGGACATTTGAGTAAGGCAGAACCATTTTTTCTGAGTAGTGTGGGACATTGAGATAAAGTATCGCTTCTTGAGTGTGCTATCGTCCCTCTTTTCCGATTGATGCATTTGCTGTGAACCAAGAACTAGGTTCACATAATTCCATTTGTCCACATAGAGGTATTATTCGCTGCAACTCACAAGGTATGTTTTTGGACTCCATATTTCTACAATTTTCATGAAACTAATTAAGCAACTGGATTGATATAAATTAAACGTTTTAAGAATCAAAAGATGATTAAGACAAGCTTAAAGCAGTGTATCAAGTCATCACTATCAGTATCACTCACCGTCACTTTCGAAGGCTACAAGTGGACAGAAGACTGAATCAATAGGCTCCTCCCACATGGATACATTATCATTTTGTTTTTAGCCTGACATTCCTACGTTAGCTGGGACTCATAAATTCAACATGAATGGGTGGATAACATAAACTGTATTTTAACCGACTATAGATGCGCATCTTAATGACCTTGTCCCTCTTATAAATTCATCCAACCATAAACTTTGTCTCGTTCAGGCAACTTCTGTGGCGTACAGTGCAAGGAAGCATCAAGTTGCTCTTAACAATAATTAATATGTGGCCCGTGATGTGAAAAGAATTAAAAAATAATTATTATTTTACATATCATGTAAAATTATTTTACAAAAAATAGTTTTAAAATTTATTCATTCCTCTCCCCACGTCACTTGAAGTCACTTTAAAATATCCATGTTCAATTTATGTTTATAGACCACTAAGGCTAGAATAAGTAAGGCCATTTGTTGAAGCTCCTCTAGATGTCGTTGAAGTCCCCGAATACAAACTATTGGAATTTAATAGGAATGCAGGCTTTTGAGGTGAAGGAAGGCTTCCTTCATTACCGAGCATGAAAATAACTTCTAACATGGATGGCCTGTTGATGACACTTTCCTGCACACACAAGAGCTCTATTTTGATATATCTTTGGACAATATCAATAGGATTTGATTCACCAAGTGTTGAATCCACTATTTCCAAAGTATTTCCTTCTCCCCACAAGTCCGATACCTACACATCAGTGAAGCATTACTTGATTACCAATAGGAAAAAATGTCATTGAGATTTGTTAACGCAGTGTCCAATTAGGTTTTCAAGGTAAAATATGAGAGGATATGGAAAAATAGTTAGATTTATATATATTTCATCTTTATTGATTTTGTCTTACTCATCCAATCAAATTCATGGGTGATCCTTCCTTGTCACGATCTAAGTTTCTCGTCCCACTAATATTCTCCAGTAGTAGATACCAAAACTAAAGACATCAAACTTCATTGAATATTATCCTTCTATTGCATATTTTAGAGCTACATAACCACTGCAACAACTCAAAATAGTTATAATATATTGTTGTGAAAAACAATCTTTTTTATCTCGAGAGATGTAAGTGTTTGGTTATTACTATTTATTACAATGTCCCAGCATTTCTTCTTGCTTGTGCTTGAATTTGGTCCTCTTCCAATATTCTAGTCATATCAAAATATGAAATTTTGGGGTTCATTGCAGTATCTAAAATAACATTGCTATCTTTAAGGTCTCTATATGGATTATTTTCAACCTTGAATCATGATGAAGATAAAGACATCAAGTAATTCCAAAAATTATTTGAACGTGCTTATCCCAATCTAACAATGATCTCTTATCTGATTTGTACATAAAATGAACGATAAAAGATTGTTAAAATTTTGAAAATGGCGGGAAAATAATCTAGGACCCTATTAAGCACGTATATAAATTAAATAGGCAAGTGACGATGATATAATTGAATACCAAAGCTAGTGTTTGATCAAATGCTTCTCAAATTGGGTATGCAAATTGCCTGTGTGTTATATGTTTGATACAATCGATTTATCAATATCGATTTATATAACTGAAAACTCAAGTTATATTAAATAAAATCTATATCAAGTCGTAATTCATTATTTAGAAAAAGTATATAGCTCATTTCTCAAACTTCAATTCATGAAAATGTCTAGTTGGAGGGGGAAAAAGGAGAAGAGCACACCAAAAATATAGAAGTCCAAGCCTTTGTTAAGGTAACAAGCTTTCTTCTTTGTGAATGCAATATCCATATAACTTTACAAGATTCTTGTGCTGCAACTTAGCAATTAGCGTTATTTCATTCAAAAATTCTTGGCACTATTGTAGGAAGGACTTTTAACAATAGTTATTTTTAAATTGTTACGTCAATTATTAAGTAGAAGTAAAAAAAAAAAGGTAGTGAAAAAGTTTCCTTTCACGTAGGTTGCAGCTTCCTTTCATGTCGGTTGACCAATCAATATTAAAAGATACATCTTCACGTTGGTTGTAGTATATAACCAACGTTATATTATTAACTAATAATTTTTTTTAAATAAACTTTTCACAACAGTTATTCAGAGAACTGTTGTAAAAAACCGTTGTAAAAAGAGACTTTTCACAATAGTTGTTAACAAAAAATTGTTGTGAAATGAGACTTTTCACAACGGTTTTTGAGAGAACCGTTGTAAAAGAATGTTTTCACAATAGTTTTTTAAATAGCTGTTGTGAAAAGTTTAATTTTTTTAAATATATTTTTTTAATTTTTTGACATTCAAAACTTTAAACTTGCAAATTATATAGATTGTGTGACATGTATAAACAACCAGCTAGTAAAATCATAATGACTATACATGTTACAACTATATTTAATATACTTTTTACAACTATTATACATATTGTTTCTACTACTAAAAGACTATAAAAATTTGTGTACACTCTCAACAATGTGAAAAGTATTCTTGAAAAAGTTGTTGAGCCAAAATATCTCGAATCCCATCAATCTCTTCTTCATTATAGGGCTTCGAATTATCAAAAATCTAAATAATAAAACTGTTGTCACAAATTACTGTCACAAATTACTTTAAGGAATTGAATACAAGAATTTAAACTAAAATTACAACTAAATACCTCTTGTAATCTTTCAGTACTTCAAACTTGAATTATCTCATACATGTAACGGATAACATAATATTTGCATTATGTGCTTCCTGACTACTGACGGCACTAAAATAAATAGAAATTTAAAATCAAACCAAAAACATATGAGGGATAATTAAATATAAAAGTTAAGGATTCGTTCTTACATTTGAGTAAATCCATTCCACCGATGATTTTGGCTTGCGTTCCCCAAATAACTAAAAAATATGTCTCAAGTGCACTATTATCAGTTGTAAATTAAAAACATTACAAAAGTATAAATATTTCTTGAAGAAATCTTTTATATAGATAAAATACTTATTTGTTGAAGATCCATATGAAATCCTTACTTGGTTTTCTACCCAAAGAACAAAACTAGTATACTACACTTTGATTCGAGAAAATAACACAAAATGACCAAAACTGCAATACATAAAAATTTTAATGGTCATTAGATAATGTGAATAAATATACACATACACACATGCAGGAATAAAAAAAATACTAGCCCATCAATAATCGGCGCTAGATAACATGAAAATTTTGTATCTGATGTATGATTCATCACATATGTCATCTTCCTATGTACTACATTGTGAGATTTTTGCACAGTTTTAGGGTACAAAAATCCAAATATGTTTTGTTTTCCCATTGCAGAATAAATATTATAGAGATACCTATCATTAAAATGATATCAAAATCTTAGTAGTATATGAAAATAAAATGAAATAAATGAAGAAAGTAAATAGAAAAATTATAAAATTCTCAATTTAGCCCATGATATGTTCAGCTCCTTTAAATTTAGAAACTCTTTGAGATCTTTCTTATTGAATCTAAAATCATATTCCTTTTTCCATAGCCACGATCCCTAGTGGCATTTTAACAGTAATACCTTCTTTTATAGTTTTATAAATTTCACGCAATTATACTAGGCAGGGAAATTTAATAGCATTTTTAGGTTCTTATTAAAACATAAAACCAAAGAGTTATATAACTAAGTAATTAATTAATTAAAGGAAACAATTATAATATTAACTTGTTCTTTACCTCTGGTGATGATTTATCAATCTTTGACACCAGATTTTTTGACCATAGAATGAAAGAACCTTTTGTTTGGCCTACTATTGTAATCTCAGAAGTGGGAAATGGCATGGGTGCATTATTTTCACCCTTTCAAACACGTGTAATTTTCACCCTAAGTTGGTCCTCTTTAATCTTCTGATGATGAAATGTAGACCCAAGCTTGTATATTGACCTTCGGCAACAACATGCTTTTTTGGAATTTCCAAATAAAGATAACAAGAAGTTC